ATTCAGGCATAGCTTAGCTTTCCAGGCATGCATTTCCATCCTTGTGCCTGCGACAGAATATATGGAAGCCCATACGGCAGAAAATGATATAGCAAGGAAGGAACATTATTTCAGTCTTTTAAAAAAGCGTACCGTCTGTACTCAGTACTGACACCAACAATAAAATGTGATGCTACAGAATGGGCACATTATGCAAATTTGCTTGGTTTGTATAATATCCTAAAACGTTATGCTGCAGAGTCCTTAATCAGGAGATGAGTGACGTAAAAGCACAAGTCCCATGCTACAGAGGCAAAAACAAAAATCTCAGTATGCAAAGGAGGAGATGGAAGGGATTTGAGCAGGCAATGCCAATACATTTTCAAGCATGTCAAGCATTTTATCTGCTGGGGACTTTAGAAAATGTAAAAAAAAAAGGAATCAAAGGAAACCGAAAGACTTAATTCCCTGCCGAACAGTTGATATTTATGCCCTGCAAAACAGTGCGATTCCTAAAGCATTTCTCACACTTTTAACATTTCCCATGATTCCCTTTGGGGAGATAGGGCAATCTACAAATAAATAAATAAATAAATAAATAATATCTGATACAAAGAAAGATTAGCATGTTGCAAACTATTTTTGTATTGGATTGCATGTTGGACACTTTCCAAGTGTCTAGGACTGTGTGATGCATCAGTGAATAATGCATGCAGATCCGAGTAGGGTGGCCTTTTGCAGCTGACAAATGGTAATTTTGTCAGCACTGATTGTTTTCAAGTGCAGGCCAAGGTCTTTAGGAACTGCACCCAGTGTGCTGATCCCCACTGGGACCACCTTGACTGGCTTGTGCCAGAGTCTTCGCAGTCTGATCTTTAAATCCTTTTCCAGTTCCTTCTTGTCCATTCTGGTGTCACTTGGGACTGCAACATCGACGATCCATATTTTGTTTTTTTTCCCTCCGATCGTAAGGTCAAGAGTATCGTGCTCCAAAACTCTGTCAGTCTGAATTCAGAAGTCTCATAGTAGTTTGACGTGTTTGTTTTCTGTAACTTTTTGAGGCTTGTGATCCCACCAGTTCTTTCTCACAGACAGATGGTATATGTGGCATGTTGCAATTATTATTATTATTATTATTATTATTATTATTATTATTATTATTACAGTGTTACCTCATTTATTGCGGGGGTTCCATTCCAGAAACCTCCATGATAAGTGAAAAATTTCGATGTAGGGACGAGGAGGGAAGCCAGGCGCTGGGGGGCCTTACACTGGGGCTTGTCTCTGGGCTGGGTTAAGGCCCAGCGCCTGGCTCCCTTCCTTCTCCTCTTCCTCTTCCTTGGAGTCCTGGGGGTTGTCTCTGGGAGGCCTCCGCCAAAGAGGGAGGAGTGGCGTTGTCATCCTTCACCGTCAGCCAAGCACCGCCCTCCTCCTCTTTGCCGTGCGTTGCAGCTGGTCATGGGCGAGCAAGCCGACAACACGCCACTGCTGTTCTGGGCCAAGGGCCCCAGCATGTCGCTGCTCGAGGAGGCGCCCTGGGAACACGGCTGGGGAGGGCCTTCCAAGGGGTTGGCAGTGTGGAAAGGGGTGCCTGGCTTGGTCCCAGGAGAGGTCGCACCGAGGCCCAGCCTGGGAGGCCACCACCGAAGAGAGAAGACTAGGACTCAGCCCCGCCTGGCAGTCTCTGGGCTAGGCCTTGACACCCAAGGAGCCTCTGAGGAAGAAGCAGAGAGCAGCGGAGACCCAGCCCAGAGACAAGCCCCACGGTAAGGCCCAGCACCTGGCTCCCCCTCCCCGCCTCCTCTTTCTCCTCCTCCTGCCTCCCTCGTGGCTCCTGGGAGGGGGAGAAAAAACCTGCGAAACAGCGAGTCTGCAATAAGCGAACCATGAAGTAGCAGGGGAACACATTATTATTATTATTATTATTATTATTATTATTATTATTATTGAAACTGTTTTATCACAGGAAATGTTTTACCAGCACGGGATTTGGAAATTTGCGAAGTTGATTCATTGAAAAGATCACTTGCATTCTGCATGAAAGCTGAAAAGCAATTTAGTCGAAGTCCTTGGAAGAACACGTTGCCACGTGCGAATCTGCCCCAGGCTTTGAGATCTCTCACTTCCGCTATTTGCAGAATGACTGAATTATGGATGAAAGATCCCCATTGTGGATCTCCCATTCCAGAAAAATCAGGCAGACACCCTCTCTGCCCCTATCTACACTTTCATAAAATGCAGTGTAGACTCATAACAATACAGTTTAACAAGGTGCAAGACATTTAGCTGTATGCACTTCAGAAAGAAATCTGCACCCCCTTGCAGTTGTCGTTTCCACCCAACCACCCATCAAAGGAGCTTTCATACTATATAGTATTATAAAATATAGCTACATCCATGCACTCTCTGTGCCAAAGAGCAACTTCCAGTTTTTGTTCAGTAGAGAGAGAAAGCAAACTGCAATGCAGATACACTGTGCAGTGAAAGATGATGAGAATGTATGTCACTAGATTCTCAAGAAAAGGCAGGTGTTTCTTAAAAGGTGTTTTATTTGTTGTCAATGGCACCTTGCACTTCCTGGCACAACGTTAGTCAGCAAACCCTGGGTGCTTCATGCGACCTGTAAGCATCAAACTGAAAGGAGTCAGAGACCCAAATCACCAGGAATTGCACTTTTTTTGGTGTCAATGTTAACTTGTAATGAGAGGTGATGGGAGTTGAAGTCCAACACATAAAGGAGGCAGAATATGCTCCTGATGTTCTGAATGAATATTCCCTTTGCCCTTATCATTTGCTGGCTGGGGCTTCTGGGTGCATTTGCATGATGGAAAAGTGGCCAAAGAACCCAAATTGATCAGAAAAGTATCAGGAACTCTTTGCTGGTCAAACAACAGCAATCCTAGCAATGCTGCTCTTTGCTTATTTTGGATAAGAAACTATACAAGGCATTGCACTTCTTCCCACAATACCACCTACTTCCAAGCAAAGCTCAGCATAACAAACTTCTACGCCAAGTTTAAAGTGGGCTTACTAACTAGAGTTTGTTATTAGCCACAATCTGTGATCAGGAAAATGGTGTAAATAGAGATTCGCAAATAACACTGTGTAACACAATTTGAAACATTTTTTGTTCCTGGTTTGAAAGTATTATTTTCCTGTTTCACTGCGTGGCACTTACTGTGAAAGTAGTTGTTCTACTCCAGAAACTTTGTTTCTGTGGCTGACACAAACCATGTTGAACTGGTTGAGACTCAATGATATATTCATTGGGAAACTATAGCGAAAGATGCTGCAAGATATCCCTCTCGCACAAACAAAGTTTGGGAAGTTTAATTTGCTTTTCCCATGTTTTAGCAATATGAGTTAGGAAATGATACTTATAACCCAAGAATAAAAATTATATTACCAGGTGTAATCTATATTTGTATGGGAAATTCTAAACTTCTAGATTATCCTGAGTTGCGACAGACTGCACTAAACCATAGTTTCACCAAGCCAATATTAGCCAAACTCACTGAAAATAGGGAACAAATTTCCTCCTCAATAGGAAACGACTGCCTACATGCTTTCTTTTTTTCCCTTTTGGTTTATTTTTGTCCACCTCTTTTATAAAAGAAGAATAAAAGGTTGAGAATATCCCAGGAGGAATGAGTCTGGATGAGTCTCACTGCAAAGGACTGAAGAAGTAGAGGAAGGACTTCCATCCAAGTTGCTGACCCACAGAGGTTCTCTTGTATCCACATACATCTATATATACACATAATAAAAGTGAAAATATGTATGTGTGTGTGCCTGGGGTGTCCACTTACACAGACAAGCACCTGCCTCCACAAATAGCTGTAGCGCCCATTACTCAGGAGACACCAACAGCCCTCCCTCCAATGACATTGCAGCTTATAAAGAGTGCCATGAACATGTACAAGAGCTCTGCCAATGTCCTCCACAAACACCATACTGCCCACCACCCAAGTGAAGGGCTTTCATTTGGCGACAATATAATACTAGATTTTATGTGTTTCCTCCACCACAAACATCCCATTGTTTCTTATTCTCTCCATTGGTGTGAAATTTGCATGACCCCGTCCACTGCCTCTCCCGTAACCCTTTCCTATTCTTTTATATGACACACAGAAAATAGAGGAATTGCTCAACAACTGAACATACTAGAGAGGTTTGGGGAAGAATTCACCATGATTTATAGGAGTTGTAGGTACTGGGATGTATGGTTCACCTGCAATCTAAGAGCTCTCTGAACTCCATCAACAATGGATCTGGAACTAACTTGGCACACAGAAGCCTCCTGACCAACAAAATATACTAGAGGTCTTTTGGAGGATTTATAGGAGTTGTAGTTCACCTACATCCAGAGCATACTATGAACCTAAACAATGATGGATCTGGACCAAACTTGACATGCATACTTGATATGCCCAAATTTGAATACTGAAGGATTTTGCAGGGAGTTGGCCTAGACATTTTGGAGTTGTAGGTACTGGGATTTATAATTCACCTGCAATCAATGAGCACTCTGAACTTCACCAAAGCCCCCATCACCAGCAAAAAATACTGGCGGTCTTTAGGGGAAATTCACCTTGATTTGGGGGAGTTGTAGTTCACCTACATCCAGAGAGGACTGTGAACCTAAACTTGGCACACATACATAATATGCTGAAATTCGATTACTGAAGTGGTTTGGGGAGGGGGAGGTACTGGCCTTCCTTTCTGTAGTTCACCCACAACAAGAGAAACAGCAACCTCCATCAAAGATGGACCTGGACCAAACTTGGCACACAGAACCCCCATGAATAACTCAACTTTCTGGAGGAGTTTGAGGGGACTGACTCACCACAGTAGGAGTTGTAGTTTACCCTACAGCCAGAGAGCACACAGAACCCCACCGATGATGCAGTTAGAGCAAACTTGGCCAACATAACAAACTTTATGTACTGACTGTGTTTTTCAGGGTTAACCTGGCATGATGGGAGTTGTAGCTAGTAAAAAATAAAAATAAATAAACTAACCTCCATTTTTGATGGCAGAGATGCCTCGATAGAAGTCTTCAAAGCTGATTACGCCAAGGCCAGCAGGGTCCAAAAATCTGGTCAGGTCTTTCACCTGGAATCACAAAACAAATTAATATTAGAGTTTTGCACAGCCAAAACAAACCTGTCCCTTTGTTTTCATGTTGGAGGGGGGAAATCACATGGGATGGATTTGACCCAAGGATCCGCGTTTGCATTGACATTTGCAGCCTCCATTGCTCCTCCATTTCATAGTTTTAAAGCCTTCAAGGAACGAGCTACCACCACACTTTTGCCCTCCAACAAGAAAACCATGCCAGAAGCTCACTTTTCACCTCTTTTCCTCCTAAAATATCCACGCAACCACAGGGCACAACATTTCCCAACCTGACTCCTCCCTGACCTCAGATGAATCAGTCAAACCTGTTAGAACAGCCATGGGCAAACTTCGGGCCTCCAGGTGTTTTGGACTGCAACTCCCACAATTCCTAACTGTCGGTCAGCCTCAGGCCCCTTCCTTTTCCCCTTCAGCCGCTTATGCATTGTTCTGCCACAGTCACTCAGTTTTACTAGCAAACCAGGGGTTAAACCAACCTTTTATGAGAGATACGGACACATCCACAAATGATAATAATTAACAATATGGGGATACGGCATATCTCATGCAAACCTTTCATTTATATATTGTAACATATAAGATTTGTTGCTCATTTTACATAGACTCAGGAAGTTTTTGGTAACAGCCATATATTGCACCTACTCACTACAGACCACACACTGATGTGTTGTGACACACAATTTGGAAAGCACACACAAGTTTTGTCTCAAAGTTTTCTCTGATACAAGCATGCGTAAGGAGCCACCTACCCCTTCTTCCTTCGCTATAATGATGATGATGATGATGATGATGATGATGATGATGATGATGATGATGATAACAATAATATGCTTTATTTATATTCTGCTCTATCTCCCTGAGGGGACTCAGAGCGGATTACAGAATACATATATGACAAAGATTAAGTGCAATTATTGGGGGACATGAGAGAAGCCTCCTCGCAGGATTGCAAGACATCCGGGCGTCCCCTGGGCAACGTCTTCGTAGTCGGCTGATTTTCTTACTCCAGAAGCGACCAGAAGCAACTTGCAGCATGCAACCAAACAAGCAAACCAACCAACAGACCTTTTCAGGACCAACCATGACAATAAACTCAATCAACATTGAAGGCATGTCAGCTGCCAAAGAACAACTGCTCCATGAACTGTGCTGAGATAAGAAATGTGATGTGATGTGTGTCCAAGAAACACAGAGGGATAAACAACAGAAATGACCAAAAGTTCCAGGAATGGTCTTAGTAGCAGAAAGACCACATGCGCAGATTGGAAGCGCCGTCTTTGTAAAACCAGGCCTCCAAGTCAGCAGTGCCCACAACACTGAAGAAAACAATATCAAGGTTATAACAGTAGAGCTTAATAACATCTCAATTACCTCTGTGTACAAGCCTCCAAATGAAGAGTTTTGTTTCTACTCCCCCGAGAACTTTGACAGGCACCAAAGGGCGGTAATAATTGGTGCCTTTAACAGCCATAGCCGTGTATGGGGCTATGCTCAAGAGGATAAAAATGGAGAGGCTGTCCTCTCCTGGTCTGAACTGCACAAACTATCACTCATTCATGATAGTAAGCTCCCACCATCCTACAACAGTGGGAGATGGCACTGAGGATATAACCCAGACCTCTTATTTGTGAGCGACAGCATTGTGCAGCAATGCACTAAATCAGTGGGACCACCAATACCAAACACACAGCACCAACCAATAGTATGAACTGTTCCCAACTATAAGGCCTCAGGAAGTTCGATTTAAACGAAGATTCAACTTCAGAAAGGCAAACTGGACTAAATTCTCAGGCATGTTAGATGACATGATCATATCAGTTGCACCAATTCCTGAGGAATGTGAGCATTTTATCGAAATAGTAAAAACCTTCTCATGGGCCTCTAGACCGAGAGTCTGCAGAACCGACTTCCTTCAGGGCATTACTCCTGAAACAGCTGCCTTGTTGGAAATCTCTTACAGGCTCCACAACGAAGACCCATTCAGCGAACAAACTCTTTAGGCAGCGCAGAGCATTGTGTCCTCCATCTCTGAAGCCAAGAAAGAACAGTGGATCAAGCTGATCACAGAGGTCGACATGAGCAGGAACAGCCAGAAGGCGTGGAGGCTGCTAAGACGGCTGAGCGATGACCCCTCACAAACTAATACCCATACCAACATAAAGGCAGATCAGGTAGCACACCAGCTCTTGAAGAATGGGAAACCCAACCTTGCCACCAAAGTAGGAAAGAAACCAATAGCCAGACAACCAGGGATTGAGAACAACAACCTTCATGAACCCTTTACGTCTACTGAATTGGACATGGCTCTCAATAAATATAAAAATGGCAAAGCAGCTTGTCTGAATGATCTATGGATGGACCAAATTAAGAACTTTGGTCCAAAAGCAAGGTGCTGGCTGCTGGAGCTGATGAACAACTGCACTGCATCCTGTCAGATCCCCAAAATCTGGAGGAAAGCAAAAGTCATAGCCATCTTGAACCAGGCAAAAACCATAATGATCCAGAAAGCTACAGACCAATCTCCTTGTTATGCCATCTTTACAAAGTTCTGGAGAGACTTATTTTCCATAGAATTATGGAAAAAATAGACCCATCTCTGATTCCACAGCAAGCTGGTTTCAGGAAAGGCAAAAGCTGCACATCGCAAGTGCTGAACCTGACTCAGCACATAGAAGATTGCTTTGAAAGGCAGCAGATCACAGGATCTGTCTTCATAGACCTGTCAGCGGCTTATGATACTGTAAACCACCGCCTCCTCCTGAGAAAAATGTATAATATCACAAAGGACTACCACCTCACCCGCCTCATAGGAAACCTGCTACAAAACAGGAGCTTTTTTGTTGAATTCCAGGGCCAGAGAAGCAGATGGCGAAAACAGAAGAACAGCCTGCCTCAGGGGAGCGTGCTTGCTCCTTCCATGTTCAACATTTACACAAATGACCAGCCACTGCCAGAAGGGACGGAGAGCTTCATCTATGCTGATGGTCGTGCCATTGCTGCTCAAGCAGGGAGCTTTGAGATGATTGAACAGAAGCTCTCCGAAGCTCTTAGTGCTCTTACTGCCCATTACAGGGAAAACCAGCTGATTCCTAATCCATCTAAAACACAGACATGTGCTTTTCATCATAAGAACAGACAAGCATCCCGAGTTCTGAGGATTACCTGGGAAGGAATCCCACTGGAGCATTGCAGCACACCCAAATACTTGGGAGTTACCCTGGACCATGCTCTGACCTACAAGAAGCACTGCCTGAACATCAAGCAAAAAGTGGGTGCTAGAAACAATATCATACGAAAGCTGACTAGCACAACCTGGGGATCACAGCCAGACACAGTGAAGACATCTGCCCTTGCGCTGTGCTACTCTGCTGCTGAGTATGCATGCCCAGTGTGGAACACATCTCACCACGCTAAAACAGTGGATGACACATCTCCATCCTGCTTTATGCAGATGATGCTGCTGTACTCTCTAGAACACCCATTGGGCTCAAAAGAGCTTTGAGAGCATTAATACAACATTGCAACACAGATCAGCTCCAACTCAATTACAATAAAACCAAAATCATGGCTTTCGCTAATAGGCCCAGGACTTACTCTTGGAGCATAGATGGTCATAAAATTGAACAAGTTACATCCTTCAAATATCTAGGTGTAGTTTTCCAATCTAATGGTAGCAGAAGAGCTCATGGGGATCAAGTATCCAACACCGCGCAGGGGAGCTCAATTGCCATTCTTAAATATCTCAGGACAAGAGGGGGCCACTTCACACCGGCAGCGCTCAAGCTGTTTGAAGCCAAGTCATTAGCCCAACTCTTATATGGTGCTCAGCTGGGCCCCTTCCCCAGTTTTGCCCCATTAGAGCTGGTTCAGTCCAAGTTTCTGAGATCGGCCTTGCAGGTACCTAAATGTGTTTCTAATGCCACCCTGCGACTAGAGACGGGTTTTATGAGAGTGGAGGCCAGGGTGTGGGTGGCCATACTTAACCTCTGGCTCAGACTGTCCCGTGCACCCCTTGGCCTTGCCCCACTAACCATGGAGGATGACTTCCAATCCACATGGAAGCAGGCGGTAGCATCCAAAATCTCCTCGTTGGGATTTTCTCCAGGTCTACTATTAGCTATGGATTACAATCAAGCCAAAGCACTTATTAAACAACGTATCACAGACACAGAGCGCCAACTAGATCTGGCCTTGGCTCCAACCTTCCTTGTCAGTGAAGACAGCAGATACCTTGCCTCCCCTATGGCATATTTAACATACTTAGAGGTTCCTATTCATCGGAGGGCTTTCACCCTGGCCCGATGCCACGCTCTCCCATCAGCTGTACTCGAAGGCCGCTACCGGAAGATCCCTTTCCCAGAGAGACTCTGCCCCTGTGACTCGGGTCATGTAGAAACAATAGAACATGTGCTCCTTCAGTCCGTTCTACAGGGATACCCGTGCCAGGCTTATCTTACCTCTGATAGACAAGCACCCAGGCCATTCAGGATAATTTTATACCTCCCTGCTACTTGCGGATACTAATTCAGCTACAACCTACAATGTCGCAAAGTTCTGTGCAGCAGCATACAAAATCCGCCAGGGAATGACTAGTTCCAAAAGTCAACTGTGTGTCCAGTAATCTTCTTCCCTGAATCTACAATTTGGTGATGGATCTGGGCATTGTATGTTTTTACCCTGTTTCCCCTTCTGCTCCCTCACCCATATTGTGTTTTTAGTAGTTGTATTTATATTTTTAATGTACCAAACATGCCAGGTTTGTATGGAAATGTGACACTATTTCCTGTGCTGGTCAATGACCGAAATAAATGTTTTGATTTGAGCTAGGTGTGAGTGTTTCAACTGACCACCTTGATTATCTGCACCCTACACCACTGGAGAAATTACACTGTTTAGCCGGTATTGCACCACCTGACATCCGCTGGGAAGTAGCAGCCAATAGCGAAAGGACCAAGGCAGAGACATCTCCAGCTCAT